CAGGAAAAAAGATTTTTCTTATATTTTAACAAGAACTTTTCTGATAAATGAAAACAAAATGGCACAAAAAATTAAATCAATTTAATCTATTCTACAGAATGGAATGAGAAAATATACTTTTCATTTTTTGCATGATATCCGCAGAAGAACACAATTCTAGGAATGAGAACGTGAAATGAAGTACTTCAACTCACTGTTTAATATACACAACTATATATAAACGTATTATATCTGTATTTGAAGGTCTCTTTTACTTCCAATTTAACTAGCTGACGGTCAATATACACTCCTTGCACCTTTCTGACTCCTTTCATCAAATGCATTCAAAGATTTTTATGAAGAAAAAAATATCTAAATTCAAGTCTCGATTCAGTGCATACTACTAAAACTACATTTTGAGGCATCTTCCTTTGATTCACCTCCAGATGCTTATTAGTACTTAATAAGGTGGAAGGGACACAAGCAGACTGAAGGTGATAAATCACCTTCGATCAAGGGTCACATTGGCAGGTTTATTATGAAGGTACACCACGTTCCCGTAAAGCAGAGATACCCAAAGGACGAGCGCCTGGAGATGACGTCACTACAGGCAATCCGCCAAGCATTGCTGTACGTCGGTGTTCATGAATGATCCAGGCAGATTTTCAAACAACAGATTTTCAAACAATTAGGCATCCGCTCAGCCAAGAGGTTTTGTGAAAGAAACTATTAAGAAGAATACGAGCAGAGAGATAGGAATGATGCTTGGTCATCAAGAAAATAAATTATTTAAATGGAGTCTAGACTAAAATAAATGTTGAAAATCAAATTGAAATTTAATTTTTAAATCAAGTTATTTGAGACATCCTATATAATGCTCTTGTGTCTTAATTCGAAACTCGTAGGCAAAGACAAAAGTAAACGAATGCTACAAGAATAATATTTTATAAGCGGTAAATCGAAATCAAGGGACATTCAGTTTTACACTGCCGCTAAAATGATTGGTATCTCTAGACGAAAAGATGCTCCTTCAGTCGAAATGGAAACGAAAAATGTGTTTCTCTGAAGAATCAACAAGCCCACTGAACATAGGATTGTGAAATAAAAGTTCTGAAATCGGTGAAATCTAGACTTACAGTAGTTTCAAAACCACACCCAACTGACGCTACAATAAAAAAAATGTTAGTATTAAGTTCGATTGACGTTGATCCCGAGTCACGACGAGTTGTATATTCATGGTTGTGAGGGAGAAATTAATTTTGTCCAGTAGAATATCGCAGTGTGACCGAAACGTCGGTAACAGTGAATGAGAAGCGACACTTCCTGGACAGTCAATCATTGATTTCGGCCGCGAAAAATTACCTTTTCAGGACGATCGATGTTTAAAATACCTCATTGTTAGATATTCAAGGTATATTCCGTACTATGTATCAAATATGACGAAATAATGATTACCACGGCATAGAATATTATTTCTATCTCCACTGAAATTTCCGATCTCTTTAAAAACCAATATGATATATTTTCGCGTTTCAAGCTATCGCACCTTCCAATACACCGTACGTATCCTATCCTCCCCGTAACATTTTCTTTGAGTCTTGAAGTGAACGGGTCGCCCCGTCACTCGCTTGTACCTCGTGGAAGAACCGTCCGCGCAGCAGGGATTGGCCGTCACTCCGTGCAAGCGACTCGCCCGCGCGGAGAACCTCTGCGCAGCCAATGGAAGAGGGCGAGGGGGGCGGTGGCTGAGGCGCCTGTTACAGGCAGATTCCGGAGAAGCGCGGCGAGCTTGCGGTTCACGCGTTCCGCCCCGCCCCGCCCCGTCGCTTCCTTTCTTCTTGTTCTCCTCCTCCTGGCGCGCGCATCGAAACAATTCTCTCGAATCGATGGGCCTTCGCGGTTCGGGCGCAGTCACGTAGCGCGCTCGTCTTGTTGGGCGGAAGAAACGAGGGTTCCTGCTGCTGCTGGTGCTGCTGTTCAAAAACGGAGAGTAACCTGCAGCGGCGGCTGAAGCACACGCGCTTTCGGCGAAAGGCCGACGGTCTCGAGCAACGCCCATCGCTTGTGTCGCTTCCGTAGCGAGCGGTTCCAGGAAGAAAAGAACTGTGTTGCGTTCGGCCATTTTCGAGCAATATCGACTGGGACTATTTTCATGCGATACGAGAGCGTCAGCTCAGGATATGAATTCGTCTCTTACGCAGAGGGGAGAAATCTAATTGCAACTTTTCAACTGAAATGTGAATCTAGCTTACCAACTACAAAAGACTACGTTATTGATTTCTGTTCATATCCAGTAGTGGAATCTCTGGGGTCCTGGGACCTTTCTTGGGTCTTGAATCATCCAGGCAATATCATCCAGGCAAAAGGCTGCCGAATGCATTTTATAATAGTCAAAATAATCATAATCATAATTCATTGGCCTCGGAAGAGCATATTATGATAATTAGTTTCTAGGAAACGAATTTTCTTGAACCAGTGAAAATATATCTCCCGTAAAACGTACTTTTTGTCACCTATTACTAGGACAAGTTACTTACATATAAAAATTTCCCACAATGCAACATATCCAAAACACACTGTAAAATTAGATATACACATCCATCTAATATACTAGTATGCTTCAGGAGAACTTGTTCTGCTCTTGCTATAGGTTCCACAAAAAGTAAATTTTACAATTCCGTCCTTCCAATTATTTTTTAACACTGCGTCGCCCTTCCGAGATGCTCTCTCCACTACGCCACTATGCCGACTGCCTAAGGAGTTACGCATGAGATCTATGGAACTTGAAGCACTTGGTTGTGTTTCCTTCTTTGCAAATATCCGTTCATCCTTGATTCTGGGAACGCAATTTACGAGAAGCAGAGGCAAATTTGACAATTTCATGAACCTTTATTTGCGACGCATCTCAAATATTCCGTTTCGATAGGTAAATATATTACCTATGTAACGTGCGTACAAAATATGTGGAAGTAGGTAAATATATAAAAATATATTATAACCAAATATGAACAATAAAAATAGTTTTAATTCATTAAGAATGTGATGCAAACTCTAGAAATATATTTTGGATGCAGGAATCTTGAACCAGTGAAAATATGTATTTACAACAAAATTCGTTTCCTAGAAACTAATTATCATAATATGCTCTTCCGAGGCCAATGAATTATGATTATGATTATTTTGATTATTATAAAATGCATTCGGCAGCCTTTTGACTGGATGATATTGCTCTGGATTCAAGACCCAAGAAAGGTCCCAGGACCCCAGAGATTCCACTACTGGATATGAACAGAAATCAATAACGTAGTCTTTTATAGTTGGTAAGCTAGATTCACATTTCAGTCCAGGGTGGTGACATTTCGCGAATCAAAACTAAGAAAATCGTTTTCGAAAATCTTAATATGAAAGAGGAGAGCAAGGATCTCAACAGATACTACTGATGAATTTTTCATTGACTGAAGACAACCCTTTCGCCAAAGAAAAGGAGTTCCATACATTTTTACCTAATATCAATTTTTAAAATAATTTTAAACTATATTCTGCAACTAGAGGTGTAAATGAATATAGTGCATCTCACCATTATTCTCGGAAATATTAATACAAACGGGAGAACAAAAACTCTGGAACATTACAAAACGACATTGCCAACAGCTGGAACACAAATGGAGAGAGACTCAAATTATTCACCAGCATCGAATCGGAAAAACAACATTGTAATGCTTCTATTGTTGAATTGTACTGATTTTTAATTTAGTAAAAATCAACGTTACGGTAGATAGCTGTTTACTGTAAAACTCCGACAACAGAAGTTCGCATGCGCAATATTAAAGAACACGAGAAATATTTAAATAAACATTTCGGAATTTTGACAGGTGAAACACCAAACCAATTGTGAACAAATAAACAAACCATGAAGAAATATTGATTGCGTACAATGTTCGACTGGAATCAGAATTATCTTCTGTTGGCCATGGCATTTAGTATTTTTTATCCTACTTTTACACATTTATCTCAAAATAATTAATTTGTTCATTAATGTGTTCAATGGGAAAACCACAAGCTTAATTAAATCTTACACCTTCATATTACTACAATAATTTAAATTTCAAATACATGAGCCTTTTTATACGCATACAAAAATTTCTCGGAATTGCGATTCTTAAGACCTTTAAGAGGTTAATGATAAAATTACTAATAACTTACCACGCCCTAACTTTTTCGAAAGTCAAAACAATATTTGTGACTGCAATAAAAATTGTAAAATTATGCATTTTTCTGAATATTGCTTCTGATAACTCAAAATAGTTCGAACGAGTAGTTCGCAAGTGGAGTCTACACAGCTCTCTCAGGGAGTTCGCGGAATATTCTCCGTACGAAACTTCCACAGCGCTCCTACATTTTAAAGGTCTTCCAATTGTATTTTCCAACGCCTATTCATTTTAAAAGTCTCCAAATGAATTTTACTCTCTGTCTGTCTGTCTGTCTGTCTGTCTGTCTGTCTGTCTGTCTGTCTGTCTGTCTGTCTGTCTCTCTCTCTCTCTCTCTCTCTCTCTCTCTCTCTCTCTCTCTCTCTCTCTATATATATATATATATATATATATATATATATATATATATATATTACTTAGTATTGACCCAGGAATATACATTTTCGTCTGTATGTTTAGCCTATATTTCGCTATTAAGCGGAATATCATCATTATCTTAGTAACTATTACTAAGTATATCTTAGTACAAGCCTTTTAAAGCTGACCCTCGAAATGCAAATCACGTTGATAACAGTTCCATTACTCCGTTGAACTAAACAACTACGTTAAACAACTTCCATCGACCGCAACATAAACGATCCATTCACACGTTTATTTCTTTCTCCAGCGATTCCAAGCTACTCTCTGCCACCTTCCTACCAGGCCAGATCTCGACGCATCTCGCAATGCTCCGTTCTTCACGATGAAACCTGGGCCTTGGGCTATTCTCTGCGGCAATGAAATGTTTGCGTCCGCCCCGCGCGCCGCACTCACCCGAGTGTTGTTCCGCTCCGCTTTGAGCTCCGCGATCTCTTCCTCGCGCTCCAGAAGGTGCTCTCTCGCCTGATTGAGCTCCTTCGTGAGCGTCGCGAACTCCTGCAACACAAGAGAACAAACGTCAAAACACTCGAAGGCGATGGGCACGATTAGGCTCGTTCATTATTATTGTTATTGTCAAAAAACATAGTTGGTGTCCGTTGGCCAATTACAATTTACCAATTCACAATGATGGGAAAATAATGAAAATGTTCCATGAAAATGATCAAAACATAACAGTGTTATGCACACAAAACATTACATGAAAATATCATAGAAAATAATGATGACCAAAATATTAAAGTAACACACAATTTTATCGATGTGCCAATCTCTATTTTCTGTCTTACAGAGATCGGAGGCTAAATAGATGTCCTTGCTATGTTACACATAAATAAATCCAATGTTTTAAATATCATTTCCTTAAATAAAAAACAGCCATTAACTATAGCCTTAAATGCTACAGCCACACATAATCTTCGTTTTCAGCACTAACTATTTTAACGTGATGTTGCTACTATTATATAGTATGAAAAAGGCACTTCCAGAATTCAGAAATAAAATAAGAGGTCTTTAAACATTCTGACTCTTTTTAAGGCACATTGAACAACGATTGGTTACATTGTAAAATACAGAAAAATATAAATCCGGTAAGTTTACATGTGATAATTAACAAATATTTAAGGATATATTTGATTTCATCATTTTGTGTATTTATAAGTATTACTGTAATATCTTCAAACATGAATACCACCATAAGTAAATATAACTACATTATTTCATTACTTTTCCCTCGACACACTCACACGAGTACATTAAAAACCAACAAGAAAACAAAAGTAAAATACAATGATTTTATAAGAATGTGTTTTAACATTAAATTATCATTATATTATATTGTTAATTTTGTTTACCAACAGGACGTCCTTTGAGGGATAATATAATGAGTTCTTTAGGCATTATAAATAAAATCTTTAGTTGCTTAGAGGTGAGAAATTATCTGAGGAACTTTCAAGAACAATTGGTATTTAGTGTATTTCATGAATAATCAGATTAGTAAATTCCCATAGGCAAACAAAAAAAAGATAAAATGAAAGATAACTATTATATACAACTACTAGTATATTAGAATGGTTTAGTTCAAAAGTAGGCATATGCTACTGTCGAATGAAAAATAAACGTGCTCGTATGTTGTATGTACAATGAAATAGTACAATGATATAGTTTTTGCTGATAAAAACCTGGGATTTCTTGAAGATTAAGATAATACTTCCTTCCCATTAATCCAATAGGAAATGAAATATATTCGAAAAGAAATGCGAAATAAACAAATTGGAAGGCCGCAGTAGAACTGTTACTCTACGAAGTCTATGGTGATTCGCAATGCAAGAGCAAAACGTTACTTCTAACAGGAATACAATTATACAACTTCTCATACTCGTGTAACTGAAAGAGATACGCAAGCCAGTGAAATTTTAATTTTTCTGAAACGTCAAAGATTACTATGCCAAACGCAGTGCAATCGATGCGCAAAGCTCGACGAAATTCCGTGGGTAGATAGCGATCAAGTATTCTGAATGTAGGGCAGAGATAAACGCAATTTTTTGACGCAAACAAAGGCCAGCCTGAAAGTAACCAGTGCACGCCAGAATGGCACTACTGTATTCGAATACTGAATTCTGAACGTAGGAAACGATAGCTTTACATAAATCCAAAGTCATTGTTAATGCACCAAACGTACGACTGCTCACCCTTGAAAACGAAATCAAACGTGGGACGTAACGAAGCTAGTTCGGCGGCTGCTCGTGATGCGACTGAGCGTTTCTTTCCTCTCGCGAGTTCCGTACGGATGTTCACAAAGAACGTCGAATAATTCCCTACCTTGTGGGAAGTTGTATGTTTCAAAAGAAGAAAATACAACTGAGGATAACTGATTTTATAGGGATGAGTATTTTATGAATCATTGTTCCTCTGAAATATGAATTTTCTGTCGTGGAAATAACGCAATTAAAATGTATTCTACCCATAAAAAATATTGTAATATATTCATAAAATCTTCTATTAAAATCTCACTCAAGGGATTATATGTTTTATGTCAAATGTAAATTAACATCAAACGAAATGCTGTACCATGGATGAATGAAACTCGTTTATTATAATTAAGTTTATGAAGCATATTTAACGTCCATGAAACAATCTAGGATATTTAACCCATTTGAACGAAAGAAGTGCAGCAGCGAATCACCTATAAAGGCCGGCGACGTCTTCCCCCCTAGTGATTCTTGCGGGCGCGGTGTCCGTCGCAAACGGCGCTTTGTCGCCGTCGCCATCTCTGGGCTATCAACGTTTTAATCGGCGGCGGGGTGCCCCGGAGCGGAAGCGCGGGCGAGGCGAGTCGGGGGGCGGGGGACGGGGGTCGGCGCTGGCCGTGCATTACCCGGTAATGGAGCGGCCGCATTAGACCGTCACGCGCGACAGCTCGCGGTCCCGCAATTACGGGGCGCCGCCGATATTGCCCCGCTGTCCGGCGCCATCCACCAGCCCGCCCGCTCCGCCTCCAAGACTGCCCTTCTCCGCCCCCGCTCCCACCTCAGCAGGTCTCCTCCGCAGCCGTGGTGGCGGTACTGGTGGTGGAGGTGGCTACGGGGGCGGTGGTGGTGGCGGGGGCGGAGGTGGTGGTGGCGGCGGCGGCGGCGGCGGCGGTGGCGGCGACGGCGGTGGCCGGGCGGGCTCGGTGGTGGCGGCAAGTGCTGCTGCTGCTGCTGGTGGTGGATGGTGCCTGACGGCGGGGGCGGTGGATTGGGGGGGCGGGGGCGCTGGTGGCGGCGCGGTGGCAAGCGGTACAGGCGGCGGGAGCAGCGGTGTGGTGGTAGCGGGAGTGGGGTAGCGGGAGGGGGGTAGCGGGAGGGGGGGCGAGCCGGTGCCGGCAGGGGCGGAGATGGTCGCGTTGACGGCAGCGGTGGGGCCGGGGCAGGGGACGCGTGGCACGGACGGATGGTCGGCAGCCCCTCGCCCCTGACAGGGAAGTTGCGGTGGGCGCGCTGGGGTGGCCTTCGGACAGCGGAAAGGCGATGCGTGGGGCGGAGGGATGCGAGGGCGGCGAAATGAAGCGGGGGATGACCAACGGCCCCCGCCTTTGCCTTGTTGTGCTGAAGGGAGGTGGTTTTCGGGCGGGGTTGAGGAAGAGAAAATACGTGGGTTTCTGGTAAAGCACATAAAATGAAAAAAGGGAAGTGCCAAAGGAGAATGCGAGGGTAGGCGGTTAACGTAATGACAGTAAATGAAAAAAAAAAAAGTCCGGATGCATCGGCTCTCGTTTCGGTAATTCCATAGAGGTGGATTACGAAACGAGCGAGCTGTTAAATAATTTAGCACAATTAATGAAACGAATGAAAGAATACAGCAACGTATTTATGTTTGAACCGCTCTAAAAAGAACAGACAAAAAGAACAAATTAATAAAATTTTCGCAACAAAATTGAAGGACAGTGCAATCTAGTACGACGGAGGGGCAACGGACGGGCAATAACGACGACGGCAATGGCAACGGGCGCGGAGGGAGCCAGCGCGGCCGTGGGGATGAGCGCGAACGCGTCGTCTGCGGCTCATAACACTGAGAGGGCCAAGGGCCGAGGGCGGACCACCGGCCAGCAACAGTAGCTGTCTGCCCGAGCGGCTAATACCCGGTGGGCGCCTCCGCCGCCCCTGCCGCTCTCGCGTCGCGTCGCGTCGCGTCGCGTCGGGTGGCGTCGCGTCGCGTCGCGTCGGGTGGCGTCGCGTGCGCGCGCGCGGGCTGACAGTCGCCCCGCAGCCACATCCTATCGCTTATCGGCGCACGAAATGGGCCGGACTTCCGCAAACGCGCGTGGCATTTGCGGCGACAATCGACGCGCAAAGCGCTCGGCACTTTAGCGCCGGCAGCCGGCTGAACAACGGAATAACAGAAAAGTTCGCGGCGTTTCGTTTTGCGGCTAATCCCGAAATAATGAGAAATGTGTGGTTAATTAAATCCTTTATATCCATGTATTTAGCTGCAACGCGTTTTAATGTATATTTACAGCGAGACGAAACATCATTACAACTAAATGCGTATTAATTTAAAAAAATCATTAGCACCAATGACCTGACATAAATAGGAAAATATTAATTTGGCAAAAATGCACTGATGAATATGCTTATATTCCTTGCAGCGTTGAGCAAATTACATTGACTTTAAATGCTATTCTAGGGAAATGCATTACAGGGAGATAGTCTCTCTTGAAACACATTTTCTGCTACTTCCTCGGGGAGATGAAAATTAACATGTCGTTGCAAACTTAATGTCCGTAAACAGCCAAAGAACGACACACTGTGGGGCAGCGAAAGTCTTTCTAGGAAAGGAAACTGTCACCAAAAAGCAAGCGTGAACAAGAGGTGAAATTTACTCCAGGAGGCTACGCAAGGCGCCGAATTTGCGTAGTCATTTTATTATATTACACGTAAGGATGCGCATCTTCGTTTTCTGGAGTGGAGAACGAAACAAGAGGATAACAGAGTTCAGAAATGTTACACAAAAAGCAAAATTATTTTTTCCCGAGGATGTCAAACACACTTCTAAAAATTAATTCAATAAAGCTGAAAGATAAAACAATGTCAACGACATTTAATATTCGAGCACATTTATCAAGTTATTTACAGCCAGATTGCACAATTACCTAAAATCTTCACAATTAATAAATCCACGAGATAATTCCAGCTACAACAATTCGATGTGACTGTTCAATGAAAAACAGCAAAGCAAAACAGCATTAGTAAGATTTCATTCGTCAAAACTGACACCCGGAACACAATGCGAAGCACGCACGCTGAATGTGTCCTTGCGCATTAATTAAGCTACACTCCTTCACGCACGGGGGCGACGCGTGGACGGCCGCACACATTTTTTGCTTATCTCGACCCACGCAAGCGTGTCCTCACGTGTTCGCCACACACGCGTGTCCGGTGGCGTGCTCGCCTCCACGCCCACAACTTACTTGGGAGCTGTTTCAAACAAATGAGAAATTCATGATGTCAGAGAAGCAA